CCTGCACATGGCTACGGTGCTCAGTATGTGTGGCGCCTGTGGTGTTCCACACCTAGTGTCTCCGAGCCTCAGTTTCTCCTGCTATCAAATGGGAGGAAAAGGCTGGGCACGGTGGCTCATGCCTGTAATCCCAGCATTTTGGGAGGCTGAGGAGGGAGGATCGCTTGAGCCCAGAAGTTTGAGACCAGCCTGGGCAATGTGGCGAGACCCCCCATCTCTACAAAGCATACAAAAATTAGCTGTGTGTGTAGCCTGTAGTCCCAGCTACTCAGGAGGCTGAGGTGGGAGGATCGCTTGAGCCTTGGAGGTCGAGGCTGCAGTGAGCTGTGATCATGCCACTGCACTCCAGCCTGGGTGACAGTGAAACGCTGTCTTAACAACAACAACAACAACAACAACAACAAACAAACAAACAAATGGGAGGAAGAATAAGGCTGTGGCTTCTGTGGGGACTGGCGAGCTGATACGTGTTCTGTGCCTGGCCCAGTGCGTGGTGAGAACCCAGGAGAAGGCACTGGAGGTCAGGGACTTGGCTGTGATTCCTGGTTCTGTCACTGTTCAGCTGTGCAGCCTGAGATAAGTCTCCGCCCCTTTCTGAACCTCAGTTTCCTCCTCTGTGTGATGGGGGTGGTGGCCCTGCCTCACCTTTCATTTAATGAAGAAGGTCCAGGTGTGAGGCTAGCATTACTACAGTTCATCTCCACTTCTCAGCTTCCTTGACCCTCTCCTCCTACTGAAAAAGCCCATCTAGACCAAGAAGGCTCTGTTCCCGGGGGCCCTGTGAATCCTCGAAGGGCCCCGCAATCACAGAATCCAACCCCTTCCTCTGCCAAATGCACATCTGAATCCGTTTCACCAGAGTATGATGAGAATTCCGTGAGCTGATGCTTGTAAACTGCCATAGGGAACACCCCCTCCCACCTTCCATAGGTAAGCAAAGGGAAGCCAGCAAGGATGTTCCCTGCAGCTGGGTTTAGAATGGAAAGGTGCAGGCGTGGTAGCATGCACCTGTGGTCCTCTCTACTTGGGAGGCTGAGGCTGGAGGATCGCTTGAGCCCAGGAATTTGAGGCTGCAGGAGGCTATAATCACTCCACTCCACTGTAACCTGGACTACAGAGGGAGACCCTGTTTCTAAGAAAGAAAAAAAGCCTGTGCACGGTGGTTCACACCTGTAATCCCAGCACTTTGGGAAGTGAGGTGGGAGGATTGCTTGAGCCCTGGAGTTTGAGACCAGCCTGGGCAACATAGGGAGACCCCATCTCTGTGGAAAAAGAAAACCCACAAAACTTCCTTTTTTTTTTTTTTTTGAGACGGAGTCTCGCTCTGTCACCCAGGCTGGAGTGCGGTGGCCGGATCTCAGCTCACTGCAAGCTCCGCCTCCCGGGTTTACACCATTCTCCGGCCTCAGCCTCCCGAGTAGCTGGGACTACAGGCGCCCGCCACCTCACCCGGCTAGTTTTTTGTATTTCTTAGTAGAGATGGGGTTTCACCGTGTTACCAGGATTGTCTCGATCTCCTGACCTCGTGATCCACCTGTCTCGGCCTCCCAAAGTGCTGGGATTACAGGCTTGAGCCACCGCGTCCGGCCAAAACTTTCTTTTCTTTTTTTTTTTTTTCTTTCTTTTCTTTCTTTCTTTTTTTTTTTTTTTTTAAAAAAGGCCCTGCTGATCCTGGACTTCTGGGATTCAGGGGCTCAGGAAGCCCCTCCCTCATTGTGCCAGAGCTGGTCTGAGTGACCAATGGCAGGGTGCTCTGCCGCTCTGCTTTCACTTCTGTGATGTGGTTATAAAAGACTGCACTTTCTTTTCTTTTCTTTTCTTTTTTCTTCTTTTCTTTTCTTTCTTTCTTTCTTTTTTTTTTTTTTTCTTTTTTTTTTTGAGACAGATTCTTACTCTGTTGCCCAGGCTGGAGTGCAGTGATATGATCTTGGCTTACTGCAACCTCCACCTCCTGAGCTCAAGCAATTCTCCTGCCTCAGCCTCCTGAGTGGCTGGGATTACAGGCTCCCGCCGCCACACTCAGCTAATTTTTGTATTTTTAGCAGAGACAGGGTTTCACCATGTTGGCCAGGCTGGTCTCAAACTCCTAACCTCAGGTGATCCACCTGCCTTGGCCTCCCCAAGTGCTGGGACTGCAGGTGTGAGCCACCACGCCAGCCATAAAGACTGCACTTTTATCTGGGGCTCTCTCAGTGCTCACTCTGTGGGAAGCCACTGTCACATCACGGGGACACTCAGATAGCAAGGAACTGAGGCCTGTAACAATCACGGGGTGAGCCTGGAAGCAAATCCCAGCCCCTTTAGGAGACTGCAGCCCTAGCCCACAGCCTGGGAGAGACCCTGAGCCAGACCGCCCCCAAATTCCTGACTCCTGGAGTCTTTAAGATCATAAATATTTGCTGTCCTAAGCTGTTAGGTTTTGAGGTAATTCGTTATGCAGCAGAAAATAAGTAATTGAGGGCTCCATTAAATACATTTTAGTGGCCGGGTGCGGTGGCTCATGGCTCCCAGCACTTTGGGAGGCCTCAGTGGGTGGATCATGAGGTCAAGAGATCGAGACCATCCTGGCCAACATGGTGAAACCTCGTCTCTACTAAAAATACAAAAATTATCTGTGGCATGCGTCTGTAGTTCCAGCTACTCAGGAGGCTGAGGCAGGAGAATCACTTGAACCCAGGAGGCAGAGGTTGCAGTGAACCGAGATCACGCCACTGTATTCCAGCTTGGGTGACACAGCGAGATGCCATCTCAAAAAAAAAAAAAAGTACATTTTAGTTTACACATGCTATGGAATGCCAGACCCCAAAGTTAAAAATAATGAGGTAGATTCAGGCGTCCAAACGTGGAGATATCCAAGGTATGCTGCTAAAGGAAAGGACATCTTTCAGAACAATATATACGGTATGACGCTTTTGTATAAAAACGTGACGTGCCAGGTGTGATGGTTCACGCCTGTAATCCCAGCACTTTGGGAGGCCCAGGTGGGTGGATCAGCTGAGGTCAGGAGTTCAAGACCAGCCTGGCCAACATGGTGGAACCCTATCTCTACCAAAAAATACAAAAATTAGCCGGGTGTGGTGGCGCCCGCCTGTAGTCCCAGCTACTCGGGAAGCTGAAGCAAGAAAATCACTTGACCTGGGAGGTGGAGGTTGCAGTGAGCCGAGATCGTGACACTGCACTCCAGCCTGGGTGGCAGAGCGAGACTCTGTCTCAAAGACAAACAAACAAACAAAAACCAAAACATGATGTGCATATGTAGCAAAAAAACTCTGGAAGACTATACCCAAACTATCAGTAGTGGTTATCACTTGTTGCAGTGCGAGGAGGGATGACAGGGACCTTCATTCGTTCTGTGATGTTTGCATGTTTTAGATGTCTACATTTGGTAAATTGGTGGAAAAACATAACTTTTAAAAGACTTGCGGCCGGGCGTGGTGGCTCAAGCCTGTAATCCCAGCACTTTGGGAGGCCGAGACGGGCGGATCACGAGGTCAGGAGATCGAGACCATCCTGGCGAACACCGTGAAACCCCGTCTCTACTAAGAAATACAAAAAACTAGCCGGGCGAGGTGGCGGGCGCCTGTAGTCCCAGCTACTCGGGAGGCTGAGGCAGGAGAATGGCGGGAACCCGGGAGGCGGAGCTTGCAGTGAGCTGAGATCGAGCCACTGCACTCCAGCCTGGGTAACAGAGCGAGACTCTGTCTCAAAAAAAATAAATAAATAAGGCCGGGCGTGGTGGCTCAAGCCTGTAATCCTAGCACTTTGGGAGGCCGAGACGAGTGGATCACGAGGTCAGGAGATCGAGACCATCCTGGCTAACACGGTGAAACCCCGTCTCTACTAAAAATACAAAAAACTAGCCGGGCGAGGTGGCGGGCGCCTGTAGTCCCAGCTACTCGGGAGGCTGAGGCAGGAGAATGGCGTGAACCCGGGAAGGCGGAGCTTGCAGTGAGCCGAGATCCGGCCACTGTACTCCAGCCTGGGCGACAGAGCGAGACTCCGTCTCAAAAAAAAAAAAAAAAATAAAAAAAAAAAATAAATAAAAATAAAAATAAAAAATAAAAGACTTGCCTGAGGCGATTTTGATAGAAAAATGTAATAAACTGGCTTCATTCACCGATAACCTTTGAAATCTCAGTACTTAACAGATTAGAAGTTTATTTCTTTGTTCTTGTAAAGTACAATCAGCAGCGCAAGAAGGGGTAGGTGGGAAGGGGCTTTGGGACATGGAGCAGGGATCCTGGCTGATGGAGCCTCTGCTGGCTTCACATGTGGCCTCCTTGGCAGCCCTGGGCACAGACATCCAGCTGGCAGATGGGGCAGGCCAGAGAGTAGAGGAGGAAGTGGGAGTTCTTTATAGGTCTTTATAAGTCTAGAATTGGTGCCCAGTTTTTTCACATTCCATTGGCCAGACCTGCTCCCCTCTGGACATGGCCCCTACTCACTGGCTGCAGGACCACCTACGCCTTGGCCCCTAGGTTGACTTCATGCCCACTTTCTTTTTTTTCTTTTTGAAACGGAATTTTGGTCTTGTTGCCTATGCTGGAGTGCAATGGTGCAGTCTCGGCTCACTGCAACTTCTGCCTCCTGGGTTGAATCGATTCTCTTGCCTCAGCCTCTGGAGTAGCTAGGATCACAATCATGCACCACCATGCCCGGCTGATGTTGTATTTTTAGTAGAGATGGGGGTTTCACCATATTGGCCAGGCTGGTCTCGAACTCCTGACCTCAGGTGATCCACCCGCCTCTGCCTCCCAAAGTGCTGGGGTTACGTGAGCCACCGCCCCTGGCCTATGCCGGCTTTCACTGCCGCTCTCCTGTCGCAGAAGCTGCCCCCAGAGGCTGCCAGCCACCCAGAGGAAGTAAGTGCTGATGTGGCACATTCTAGAAGTTAAAGCTCCCCGCATGGTGGCCCAGCCTGCCCAGGGCAGTTGGCCAGTCAGAAACACAGCCTTCTGACCCAGTGTCTCTCTTGCCTTTTTCTGTCCTGGGTAGGGCCCGTCATCTGGGGTGTGGCTGTTTGAGGATGGACTCCAGGTCACAGAGCCCCAGGAATTGTTTGTAGACTGTCATGTGTATCTACATGAGTCTGCAAACCGGCAGCACCGGACTCACCAAGGTCGAGAAGCGTGATCGCTGCTGTTCCCTGCGTGCACACTGAGTGGTGTGCTAAGGACCTGCCCTGCAGGAGCATGCAGGAGCCTCCCAGCAACTCTCCGAGGAGGCTCCAAATGGAGAACCTGGAAGTCAGAGAGGCGACGTCACTCACCCAAGGTCTCCCAGCTCCTAGCTGGTAAGGGTGGGAAGAGAATGCAAGCAGATCTGCCTGACTTCAAAGCCAGTGGTTTTTTTGTTTTGTTTTGTTTTGTTTTCACATAGAGACAGAGGCTAAGCACGGTGGTTCATACCTCCCAACACTTGGGAGGCCCACACTTTGGGAGGCCAAGGAGGACAGATCACTTGAGCCCAGGAGTTTGAGATCAGCCTGGGCAACATAGTGAGACCCCATCTCTATAAAAAATTAGCCGGGCGTGGTGGTGTGTGCCTGTAGTCCCAGCTACTTGGAGTACTTAACATGGCATGTGCAAATGCCCTGAGGCAGGTATGGGCAGGTGGGAACAGGGGTCTAGAGACCAGGGGGAGGAGAAACAGAAAGGAAGGCAGGAGAGTGGGTGGGGGACACCCTGGGGGCCATGCCAGCCACAGGAAGGGTTTTGGATTTTACTGGAACAATTCAAAGCTACTGGAGGATTTAAGCAGGGAAGTAGGGATCTTTAAATTGTGGCTTTTGGGTTCTTTTCTGAGAGTTTTCAAGTTTTGAATTTTTATTTTAATAATCTCATAAAATTACCAGTCTCATACTGTACCTTGTGGAGGCCAACAACCTAGAGCCCGGCCTGTGTTAGCATTTCTGCTTCTATCTGAGCCAAATAGGGGTATGTCAAGGGCCCCAGGTCAAAGAGAAAATAACTGAAAAGAGAGGGAAACTGTATTAGTTAGCTATGGCTGCCTGCATATCATCCACCCACCCACCCCCAACTTAGCAGTTTAAAACAACAAACTTTTGGCCAGGCGCAGTGTCTCATGCCTGTAATCCTAGCACTTTGGGAGGCTGAGGCGGGTGGATCACCTGAGGTCAGGAGTTCAAGACCAGCTTGGCCAACATGGTGAAACCCCATCTGTACTAAAAATATAAAAACTAGCCAGGTGTGGTGGTGGTGGTACTCGTGAGGCTGAGGGAATGTGATGAAACCCCATCTCTACTAAAAATACAAAAATTAGCCGGGTGTGGTGGCGGGTGCCTGTAATCCCAGCTACTTGGGAGGCTGAGGCAGAAGAATCGCTTGAACCCGGGAGGTGGAGATTGCAGTGAGCCGAGATTGCACCACTGCACTCCAGCCTGGGCAACAGGAGTGAAACTCTGTCTCAAAAAACAACAACAACAAACTTGTCTCCCAGTTTCTGTGGGTCAGGAATCCAGGTGCACCTTAGCTTGGTCCTTTGGCTCAAGGTCTTGCACAAAATCTCAATCAAGGTGTCAGCAGAGGCTGGGGCCCATCTCAAGGCTCAGATAGAGGAGGATTTGCTTACAAGCTCACTCACCTGAATGCAGGCAGGATTTTGTTCCTCGTGGCCTGTTGGGCTGAGGGGCTTAGCTCCTCGACAGCTGTTGGCCAAGGCATCCCTCAGTTCCTTGCCATGTGGGTGTCTCCATAGGGCAGCTCATACAGTGGTGGGAGGCTTTGTCACAGCCAGCAAGCCAGAGAGGACAAGCAGGAGGGAAGCCACGGTCCTTTCGTAACCTACTCTCAGAAGTGACATCCCGACTGAGTGTGGTGGCTCATGCCTATAATCCCAGCACTTTGGGAGACCAAGGCGGATGGATCACCTGAGGTCAGGAGTTTGAGACCAGCCTGGCCAACATATAGTGAAACCCCATCTCTACTAAAAGTACAAAAATCGCTGGGCGCAGCGGCTCACACCTGTAATTCCAGCACATTCAGAGGCTGAGGTGGGTGGATCATGAGGTCAAGAGATCGAGACCATCCTGGCCAACAAGGTGAAACCCCATCTCTACTAAAAATACAAAAATTAGCTGGGCATGGCGGCGCATGCCTGTGATCCCAGCTACTCAAGAGGCTGAAGCAGGAGAATGGCGTGAACCTGAACCTGGGAGGTGGAGCTTGCAGTGAGCCAAGATCAAACCACAGCACTCCAGCCTGAGTGACGAGCGAGACTCCGTCTCAAAAAAAAAAAAAAAATTAGCCAGGCATGGTGGTGGGCACCTGTAATCCCAGCTACTTGGGAGGCTGAGGCAGAAGAATCACTTGAACTTGGGGAGGGCATGAGAGGTGCCAGTCAGCAAAAGCAAGACGTAAAAAAAAAAGCCGCGGTGGCCAACCTGAATCCAGACTGGAGCAACGCATCAGAGATCGAGAACCGCAACAATGAAATTCAAAAAAAAAAAAAAACTAGGGCGAGGTGGGGCGCCTGTGTCCAGCTTGGGGGAGGCAGGAGATGCGTAGGGCGGCTGAGGAGCGGTCCGCACGCACTCCAGCCTGGGTGACAGAGCAAGACTCCGTCTCAAAAAAAATAAAAAATAAAAATAAATAAATAAATAAATAAATAAAATACAAAAATTAGCCATGCGTGGTGGTGGGTGCCGGTAGTCCCAACTACTTGGGAGGCTGAGACAGGAGAACCACTTGAACCTGGGAGGTGGAGGTTTTAGTGAGCCAAGATTGTGCCACTGCACTCCAGACTGGGTGACAGGGCAAGGCTCTGTCTCAAAAAAAAAAAAAAAAAAGCTATGTCCTGTCCCTTTTTTTTTTTCCTGAATTACCCTTTTTCTAAAAAAAAATAAATTGAGCTGGACACGGTTGTTCATGCCTGTAGTCCCAGCACTTTGGGAGGCTGAGGCAGGCGAATCACCTGAGGTCAGGAGTTTGAGACCAGCCTGGTCAACATCGTGAAACCCCGTCTCGACTAAAAATACAAAACATTAGCCAGACATGGCCTACGCACCTGTATTCCCAGCTACTCAGGAAGCTGAGGCAGGAGAATAGCTAGAACCTGGAAGGCAGAAGTTGCAGTGAGCCAAGACGCCATTGCACTCCAGCCTGGGCAACAAGAGTGAAACTCTGTCTCAAAAAAAAAAAAAAAATTGAGACAGGGTCTTACTCTGTTGCCCAAAGTATCAAGCCTATCAAGGCTCACTGTAACCTCAAACTCCTGGGCACAAGGGATCCTCCTGTCTCAGCCTCCTGAATAGCTGGGGATCTAGCCAGGTGTGGTTGCCACCCATGTGCCCCAGATGGGACTACAGCCATGAGGATTTTAAAATTTTATTTTGGTTTATATTATTTTTTTTTTATTTTTTTTGAGACAGAGTCTCACTCTGTTGCCCAGGCTGGAGTGCTGTGGCGCGATCTCGGCTCACTGCAAGCTCTGCCTCCCGGGTTCACGCCATTCTCCTGCCTCAGCCTCTCAAGTAGCTGGGACTACAGGCGCACGCCTGGCTCATTTTTTGTATTTTTAGTAGAGATAGGGTTTCACTGTGTTAGCCAGGATGGTGTCGATCTCCTGACCTTGTGATTCGCCTGCCTCAGCCTCCCAAAGTGCTGGGATTACAGGCGTGAGCCACCGCGCCCAGCCGAGATTTTTAAATTTTATTGATTGATTGATTGATTTTTAAGACGGAGTCTCGCTTTGTCACCCAGGCTGGAGTGCAGTGGCGCCATCTCGGCTCACTGCAAGCTCCGCCTCCCGGGTTTACACCATTCTCCTGCCTCAGCCTCCGGAGTAGCTGGGACTACAGGTGCACGCCTGGCTAATTTTTTTGTATTTTTAGTAGAGACGGGGTTTCACTGTGTTAGCCAGGATAGTCTCGATCTCCGGACCTTGTGATCCTCCCGCCTTGGCCTCCCAAAGTGCTGGGATTACAGGCCTGAGCCACCGCTCCCGGCCGAGATTTTTTAATTTTTTTTTGAGACAGAGTCTTGCTCTGCTGACCAGGCTTTGGTGTAGTGGTGTGATCATGGCTCACTGCAGCCTGGGCTCAGGTGATTCTCCTGCCTCACCCTGGGACTACAGGCCTGGGGCACCGGGCTTGGCTAATTTTTTTTGTATTTTTTGTAGAGGTGAGGTCTTGCTATGTTGCCCAGGCCAGTCTCAAACTCCTGGCCTCAAGGTTCTGGGATTACAAGCATAAGCCACTGTATCTGGCCTCCTTTTTATCTTGGAATAATGTTAGATTTACAGGAAAATTGCAAAGATAATGTACAATAGCTGGGTGTGGTAGCACACACCTGTAGTTCTAGCTACTTGGGAGGTTGAGGTGGGAGGATTGCTTGAACTGGGGAGGTTGAGGCTGCAGTGAGCTGCAATCGTGCCACTGCACTCCAGCCTGGGCGACAGGGCAAGACCCTGTCTCAAAAAACAAAACAAGGCCGGGCGCGGTGGCTCAAGCCTGTAATCCCAGCACTTTGGGAGGCCGAGACGGGCAGATCACGAGGTCAGGAGATCAAGACCATCCTGGCTAACACGGTGAAACCCCTTCTCTACTAAAAAATACAAAAAACTAGCCGGGCGAGGTGGCGGGCGCCTGTAGTCCCAGCTACTCGGGAGGCTGAGGCAGGAGAATGGCGTAAACCCGGGAGGCGGAGCTTGCAGTGATCTGAGATCCGGCCACTGCACTCCAGCCTGGGCGACAGAGCGAGACTCCGTCTCAAAAGCAAAACAAAACAAAACAAAACAAAACAAAATCCCATAACCACAGTTCCTGCGTACCTTCACCCAGTTTCCCTAATGTTATCATCTTAATTTACCATGAAACATTTGTCAAAAGAAACCAACTTTGACACGTTACTATTAACTAAACTCCAGCCTTTATTCAGATTTCATTCATTTTTACACTAAAGTCTTTTTTCTGTTCCAGGTTCCAACCCAGGATATCACATTGCATTTTGTCATGTCTCCTTGATTTCTTCTGGTCTGTGACAGTTTCTGTCTTCCCCCAGATTTTCTCAGTCTTTCTCAAGTCATGACCTCGAGCTTTGAGGAGAACTAGTGAAGTATTTTGTGAATGTCCCTCAGTTTGTGTTTGTCTGTATTTTTTTCATGATTAGCTCGGGTATGAGCTTGGGAAAAGATGCCCAGAGGTGTGTGGAGCCCTCCTTAGTCCATTATATCAGGAGGTACATGAGATTCCCGTGATTAAAGTATTAGCCTTAATGTATTGACCTTTGTCACTTCACTAAAGTGGTGTCTGCCAGGTTTTTCCCCCATTAAGTTACTATTTTTCCCTTTTCTATACTCCGTTCTTCAGAAGCAAATCACTAAGTCCAGCCCACACTCAAGGGGTGGAAAATTAAATCTACCTCCGGGGGACAGTATCATAAATTAATTGGAATTCTTCTGTAGGGATGATTTGTCCCTTCTTTACCATTTATTTATTTACTCAGTCATTTACTTATATCTGCATTAACTTGTCTATGCTTATTTTATACTTTGAGCTGTAATCTAACACTACATTATGCATTTCATTGCTAAATTATTATCATTTTGGCCATTGGAGCGCTTTCAGATTGATTCCTGATCCCTTTGACAAGCCCTTGTCCTTTAGGTTTTTTGTTTGTTTGTTTTTTGACACAGAGTCTTGTTCTGTCACTCAGGCTGGAGTACAGTGGCACAATCTCAGCTCGCTGCAACCTCCGCCTCCCAGGTTCAAGCGATTATCATGCTTCAGCCTCCCTAGTCTGGGATTACAGGCATGCGCCACCACGCCCGGCTAATTTTTTGAAATTTTAGTAGAGATGGGGTTTTTACCATGTTGGTCAGGCTGTCTCGAACTCCTGAGCTCAAGTGATCCAATCTTCTCGGCCTCCCAAACTGCGGGGATTACAGGCGTGAGGCACCGAGCTCAGCCAGGTTTGTTTTTGTTTTTGAGACAGGGTCTCACTCTGTTGCCCAGGCTGGAGTGCAGTGGTGTGATCTCAGCTCAATGCAGCCTCAATCTCCTGGGCTCAAGCCAACCTCCCACCTCAGCCTCCCGAGTATCTGGGACTACCGGTGTGCACTACCACGCCTGGCTAATTTTTTAGTTTTTTGTAGAGAGGGGGTTTCACCATGTTGCCCAGGCTAGTCTCAAACTCCTGGGCTCAAGTGATCTGCCCGCCTCGACCTCCTAAAGTGCTGGATTACAGGCGTGAGCCCTTGTGACCAGACGTCCTTTCGTTTCTGAGCACGTCCTTGCTTTCCGGCACTTTATAATGCTCCAAGCTCACCTTGTATTTTCCCTGACTTAGCTATAGAATCAGCCATTTCTCGAAGGAGACCTGATTGTTTTTGTTGGCGAGTGGTATTTAGAAACTAAAATCTGGGCACTGGGCCTATTTATTGCACCCAGGGTGTCACAGCTTCTAGGCCCTGTCAGCTATGCCTGACATTTGCTGTCCTCTATGCATTAGAATCTAGTCACTAGGCCCTGCTCTCACCGGGAGAAGACCACTTGAATGCATGAATACCCAGAGTTGGGGATCCTTGGAGGCCATCCTGAAGGCTGACTGCCTCAGTGACTTAAAATTAATTGGTGCAATTGCAAAGGTCAGAAGCAACCCGCACGTGCATTGGCAGGGGTGTGCAGGAGCACACGGCAACTGTGAAGGGGAATGAGAGGAAGCGCTTTCCCCACTGATGATCTCCCAGATCCTTTGCTAAGTAAAAAGAGCCTGAGGCAGAGCCACAGATGTGGCATGAGAATGTTTTGAAATGAGAAGAAAACACAGAACTGAAGTTTGTATTTGCAGTTGGGTGCGGTAGCTCACACCTGTAATCCCAGAACTTTGGGAGCCCGAGGCATGAGGATCACTTGAGTCCAGGAGTTGGAGAACAGACTGGGCAACATAGCAAGACCCCGTTTCTAAAAAAAATTTAAAAATTAGCCGGACGTAGTGGCTTGTGCCTGTAATTCCAGCACTTTGGGAGGCTGAGGCAGGGGGATCACGAGGTTAGGAGTTGGAGACCAGCCTGGCCAACATGGTGAAACCCGTCTCTACTGAAAATACAAAAATTAGCTGGGCTTGGTGGTGCATGCCTGTAATCCCACCTACTCGGGAGGCTGAGGCATGAGAATCACTTGAACCCAGGAGGTGGAGGTTACAGTGAGCCGAGATCATGCCACTGCACTCCAGCCAGGGCGACAAGAGCAAAACTCTGTCTCAAAAAAAAAAAAAAAAAAAATTGGCCAGGCATGGTGGCTCACGCCTGTAATCCCAGCACTTTGGGAGGCCGAGGCTGGTGGATCACCTGAGGTTAGGAGTTTGAGATCAGCTTGACCAACATGGAGAAACCCTGTCTCTGCTAAAAATACAAAATGAGCTGGGTGTGGTGGCGCATGCCTGTAATCCCAGCTACTTGGGAGGTTAAGGCAGGAGAATTGCTTGCTTGAACCCGGGAGGCGGAGGTTGCAGTGAGCTGAGATCGCGCCATTGCACTCCAGCCTGGGCAACAAGGGCAAAACTCCATCTCAAAATAAATAAGTAATTTAAAAATTGCCATACATGGTGGTGCATACCTGTAGTTCCAGCTCCTCTGGAGGCTGAAGTGGCAGGACAGCTTGAGTCCAGCAGGTCAAGGCTGCAGTGAGCTACGATTATGCCACAGCACTCCAGCCTGGGTGACCTAGCGGGACCCTGTCTCAAAAAAAAAAGAAAAAAAAAAAGTATTTGCAAAGATGATCCCTGGAAAGACACACAAGGAGGTCATAACACCGATTTCTCAGGGAGAGAGGTAGAATCTGTATATAGAAAAAAACAGGCCGGGCGCGGTGCTCAAGCCTGTAATCCCAGCACTTTGGAGCGAGACGGCGATCACGAGTCAGGAGATCGAGACCATCCTGGCTAACACGGTGAAACCCGTCTCTACTAAAAATACAAAAACTAGCCGGCGGGTGGCGGCGCCTGTAGTCCAGCTACTCGGAGCTGAGGCAGGAGAATGGCGTAAACCCGGGAGGCGGAGCTTGCAGTGAACCGAGATCGCGCCACTGCACTCCAGCCTGGGTGACAGAGCCAGACTCCGTCTCAAAAAAAAAAAAAAAGAAAAAAAGAAAAAAACACCCTCGTAAGAAGTGAAGGACAGGCTAGGTGCGGTGGCTCACAGTTGTAATCCCAGCACTTTGGGAGGCCAAGGTGGGTGGATCACAAGGTCAGGAGTTCAAGACCAGCCTGGCCAATATGGTGCAACCCCATCTCTACTAAAAATACAAAAATTAGCCGGGTGTGGTGGCATACATCTGTAATCCCAGCTACTCAGGAGGCTGAGACAGGAGAATTGCTTGAACCTGGGAGGTGGAGGTTGCAGTGAGCCGAGATCGCGCCATTGCACTCCAGCCTGAGCGACAGAGCGAGACGCCATCTAAAAAAAAAAAAAATGTAGTGAGGGACAATAGCTGACAATTTCCCTGTGGTTTGGGAAGAGAAAAGCAGCCGTCAGGCCAAACCCCCGGGGGAGCCTGTGGGCTGGACCCAACATGGTGGGGCGCAACCTCATTTCTGCAAAACATCATCGTCTGTCATATGCGGTTTGTGCGGTGGTCTGAACACTTGCTCTCATCATTCTGTTTGTGTTTAATTTGTGGCCGCATGGTGGAGTGGTCAGGAACATAGAACCAGCCAGGCGCAGTGGCTCACGCCTGTAATCCCAGCACTTTGGGAGGCCAAGATGGGCAGATCTCCTGAGGTCGGGAGTTTGAAACCAGCCTGACCAACATGGAGAAACCCAGTCTCTACTAAAAATACAAAATTAGCCTGGCGTGGAGGTGCATGCCTGCAACCCCAGCTACTTAGGAGGCTGGGGCAGGCGAATTGCTTGAACCTGGGAGGCGGAGGTTGCGGTGAGCCGAGATCACGCCACTGCACTCCAGCCTGGGTAACAAGAGTAAAACCCCTCTCAAAAAACAAACAAAAAAACAAACAAACAAAAAAAAGGCCCCCAGGAGCCTGACTGCGCATGTCCAAATCCCAGCTCTGATACTTCTCAGCTGAGTGACTACGGGCAAACAACTCGCTTCTCAGAGGCTTAGTCTCCTCTTCTGTGAAATGGGAACAAACAGTCCCTACCTGACAGGTGATTATGAGAATCTGGTGAGTTTATACATGTCAGGTGCCCAGAGCAAGGGCTGAATAAACATGAGCTAGTATGATTAAGTGCATGCATATGTAGAGAACAGAAAAATTGCAATAGTCAGTGGTACCCTTGGGACTCAGAGTTCTCCCGCCGCCACTTTATTTTCTTTGAGACAGCGTTTCACTCTGCAGCCCTGGTTGGAGTACAGTGGCGCAATCTCACTGCAACCTCTACCTCTACCTCCCCGGTTGTACAACAGGAGGCTGATTCTCCTGCTTCAGCCTCCCAAGTAGCTGGGATTACAGACACGTGCCACCACACACGGCTATTTTGCATTTTTATTTATTTATTTAGAGACAGAGTCTCCCTCTGTTGCCCAGGCTGGAGTGCAGTGGCACGATCTTGGCTCACTGCAACCTCCACCTCCCGAGTTCAGGCGATTCTTCTGTCTCAGCCTCCCGAGTGGCTGGCATTACAGACACACGCCACCATGAACGGCTAATTTTGTAATTTTAGTAGAGACAAGGTTTCACCATGTTGGCCAGGCTGGTCTTGAACTCCTTACCTCAGGTGATCCACCTGCCTCAGCCTCCCAAAGTGCTGGGATTACAGTTGTGAGCCACCATACCCGGCTCTAGTTTTTGATTTTTAGTAGAGACAGGGTTTCACCATGTTGGCCAGGCTGGTCTTGAACTCCTGGCCTCAAATGATCCACCTGCTTTGGCCTCCCAAAGTGCTGGGATTACAGGCCTGAGCTACCACGCCTGGCCAAGATCTCCCCCTTTTAACTAGGTCTCTATCTTCTTCAATCTGGAGGAATGGGGGGCTCCCACGGTGCCCATGCTCATGCCCAGCCCCATACTGTTCCCTCATGGACTGGCATTGCTTGTCCCCTCCCTATTCTCCTTTCCTCACCCTCAGTCCAGACTGAGATATGAGCGTGGCAAGGCAGGGAGTGCCTGTTCATCCCAGTATCCCCAGTGCCCAGCCTGGAGCCTGGCACAAACAAGTATTCAGAACATGTTTGGTGAATAAATAATGCAAGCAGGCCAGGGGCAGTGGCCCATGCCTATAATCCCAGCACTTTGGGAGGCTGAGACGGACAGATCACCT